TAGCTTCAATTATTTATAGTAAATTAATTAGAAAGCAAAATTAGAAAACAAATATTAATTTTACATTGTAATATAAATTTATAATGAGATATTGTATGAAATATTTTTTTGAGTCTGTTAAATAAAAAAATTTAATTTATACAATTTTATACAACATATTTGTTTTTTTTGTATTGATTATTAGGGACTAATAAAAGAATGGTATTTATAATAGATTTTAAATACTTTGTATATATAGTATTGAAAACACAATCAGTGCGAAACGATGCAAAGCAGACACGATTTTTCACATTAGTTGATAAAATACAAGGAAACGACTTTGTCATATCGATTGGAATATATTTTATGTTAGTATCTTATACAATATGTTTTGACTACTTAACTCGATAAATATATAGCAATATATGCCAACAATTTTTCATACAAATGCAACCCAAATTCTCATAAAAATATACTAAAGACGTTAACTATAAAGTATTGACGTAAACATACTATACTTTCTATACTATAGAAAGAGGTAAACATAGTATTGAAATGCAAAACAGTATTGTTGAATATATATAGCGACTACGGCATGTTTTACAGACAAGAGTATCGTAAAATTTTTGTATTTTCACAAAAAAAGAGGAAATGTGCTTTGAACTTTGAAACAAATTAAACTAAATCTGTAATTATTGCAAGGAACAGAATATTAATAATTATAATAGTGCTTCAGGCAGTATCAAAACGAATCGTTCATGTAGTCATTCAGAAAAAGTGTTGAGGCAGTTTTATAGAATTGTACTCTTCTCAGATAGTCCTGTTCAAAGTAATCAAAGTTTTATATTGTACTCAATTTAATACTAATATTGTAAGAGAGCTTATGGTTGCTATAAGCAGTCAACTTCACAATTATTGTGAATAAGTGTTTATTTACAATCCATTCACACATTAATTGTAATGCTAAACCTGCGTTATACTACGTTTACATTGTGAGAATAAGAGAACGAGATTAAGTTAATCTGCATTTTTAATCTTCACCGTTTACATTACATATTGGAGATTAATATTGACGTTTCTCTTGTGGTGTTTTGTTTCGTGTTTGATTCATTTTTGTAAATAAAACATTTAATTACAATTTTGTATAAAAAAATTTTAATAAAAATTCAATAAATAGTTTTACAACAATAATTTAACAAATTTAAGTTATAATTCTATACAAAACTGATATTAAACAAACTTATTAAAAATTTACACACTACGGCATTTTCAAACTTTCATTATTTGTTTTGAATAGATTATGACATTCCTTTTTAAATTCTTGTAAGATCGTAAAAAATCTGTTATATTAAGGCATTTACAGAATTGCACAGAAAAATAATCACCATTTCTAAGGTGATTAAATATTGTATGGGAAATCTGAGATTAAACAACGAGGTTAGTACTTTTATCTCGATTTTTGCTTTAATCTACTTTCAATCACATAATGTAAACGCTGTAATAGTGTAAACATATTAATCAATACGATTTAATGCAATTAATTCGATTTATGTGCAGCAGTAATATGGACCATTTATTATACAAAATCTATTTAAAATCCATACACAAAAATGGTATGAGATCAAATAAATTAAAAATGTAAACACATGTAGAATAACTCTAATAATTAACACGATTTAAACAACGATAACCGAACTACACTCTCTTAACATCTGCCACCCAAGATGAACGCCGTCAAAAGCTTGCCGCAGCGCCGACTCCAAATCTGCAGCAATAAAAAAACAAAAACAAAAGCAAAGCCCAACAGCTGTGTTGTGCTTACGAATGAATTAGCAAAAGTCATAAAAGTAATCAGTAGGCAGATTGCCTATAAATTATTCCTAAGCAAATAAACAAAAACAGCAAAAACGTGTGCTCAAACACAAAACGAAAAAAGTGTTTTTGTGCCAATATTCAAAAAAAAAAATTTATTATTTTTTGACACTAAAAACTCTTACAAAAAAGCGTCAAGCGTTTACAGCAAAATGGCAAAATTGGATGAAAAAATTGGTTTCATTGGTGGTGGCAATATGGCCTTTGCCATAGGAGCCGGTCTTATACAACGTGGCATAGTAAAAGTAGGACAGGTGTTAGTGTCTGGACCTAATCTAGAAAATATGATACGTTGGCGTGATTTAGGTGTTGCAATCACCGAGCGCAACTATGAAGTAGTGGACAAGGCAGACATTATATTTATTTGCGTGAAGCCACACATTTTAACGCCTTGTGCGGAACATCTACGTAGTGAATATACATCAACATCGAAGGATAAGGATAAGTTGTTTGTCTCGGTTTTAGCGGGTGTCAACTTACAGACACTGGAAGAGGTATAGATGACCGCACTACTATTTTAACTTCCTTTATGTTATTTCCACAATTTATTTGTAGAGCTTTTCATTTATTAACAGTCTGAAGATGATACGCACCATGCCAAATACTTCAATGCAAGTGGGTGAGGGATGTACAGTGTACGCTGCTGGCTCATACGTTAAGCAACAAGATTTGGAAAAAATACACCTAATGCTCAACTCTTTGGGTATTGCTCAACAAGTGCCAGAATCTATGATTAATGCAGTTTCTGGACTAGCAGGCTGTGGTCCTGCTTATGTTTATACAGTTATAGAAGCGCTAGCAGATGGTGCTGTTAAACAGGGCGTACCTAGACAAATGGCTTCAATTTTTGCTGCGCAAACCCTACTAGGCGCAGCTAAAACCGTTTTGCTTACTGGCAAACATCCTGCAGTGCTCAGAGATGAAGTGAGTTATACCTGAAGTGACCTATATTTCTTATATGTTTATAATATTGTATATTCTTACAGGTATGTTCTCCTGGTGGGGCAACCATTGTTGGTATACATGAACTCGAAAAGGGCAATTTAAGGTACAACACTGCTCCAACATTTTCTTCAATTATTTTGTATTTTCTTTTCATTTAGAGCAACACTTATGAATGCAGTGGAGCAATCTTCGAAGCGTTGTGAAGAACTTGGCAAAAAATAAATGCACAAGACGAAAGTGAATATTGGAATTAAGGTCTCAAAACTTATTCTTTGTAATACGATAAGTTTATTAAAATTAACCTAAACATTTAAACAATTAAAATACAAAATAAGCTTAAAAATTAAAAATTTTATTCGCGATCTTTTCGGCTAACGTACTCCACACACTTGGAGGGATCTGTGGGAAAATATTCTTGGCACTTTGTCATCAAACGTTTCAAGCCTTGTATGTACTTTCGCTGCGTTTCATCATTCATTACGTGCGCCACATTTTTTGAGAAAATTTTTTCGCGTCCTGTACGGGCGTGAATGCCAACCATAGTAACACCAATGGGCCAAGGAGCATTCCCAATGGCCATCTCCAAGTACGCATCACTAGCAGAAATATAATTGCGATTGAGTAGATGCTTGCATATATCACGCAAACTGTCTAAAATATCTTCGGGCAATGTGTGATGTTTCAATTTACGGAACAGTGGCTTCACGTACTCCTTAGTTTGTGTGTAAATAACACGCGCCATTTTAACTTTTGTGGACATTTTTTCTTGTTTTGAATAGGAGGCGATTTGATCGTTCCACAGCTTGAGCAGAAATATTAACAAAGTGATTATAACATCCATATCATAATCCTTACTACCACGTCCCATTTTTTGCGCCATTGTTTGTATGGTCTCCCAAGTGACAGATTCGTCTAATTCTGTTACATCAGATTGCTTTTCTTCTTTTGCTGTAGGTGTATTGGCAAACATTTCTTGCAAATATGCTTGATCAACTTGTTCCATAGCTTCTTGAAAATCGTTACGGAAACCACGGTTACTTTCAGGTTGAGTTATCTCACACTGACGCAGTCTATTGAAGGAGTCAATTTCTGTTTCGCCAAAGAGTAATATGGGCTCAGAACGATCACGCAAACGCCTTACAACTTCAGTTCGCGCTAATATATTTTGTCCATCCGAAACGTAATGATAGCCACCTTCCTCCGAATGGTCCTCTGCTTCCGTGCTCTCCTGCGTTTTGTAGCCAACTTTTTGCAAAATTTCTTCCTGATCTTTTGCTATTAGGTCACGGCGTTGAAAAAACTTCTTTTTATCATCAATTAATTGTTTTTCTTCAAGTAACTTGCGTTTACGTGCAATTTCTGCTTTAAGTATATCCATTTTCTTACACTATTTCTGCAAAATCGATTTATTAAAAATTATTTACAAACAACGCATTTAACAATGAAAAAGTTGAACATTAACATTGACTGAAATGTCAAACGCAAAGCAGCTGTTGCATGGGTTCGTGTCTTTACTAAACAAACATAGAAACATAGCAGCTGTGTTTATGTTGTACTAAATTGTGTGCGCTGAGAAGGCAATGCTGTGCACAGACGTCAAAATGTTTGCGATTACTTTCCTGTAAAATAAATTAAAAATTGGTAATAAAAATAGTTTTTGAGTGCAATTTCTACAAAACAGTCAAAATGCCGAAGAAAACGGGCATGAACTCTAAAGCTGTCGAGGCTCGTGAACGCAAGGAAGCAACAAAGAAAGCCACTCAGGAGAAGGCAAAAAAAGACGCTGAGGACAAATTGTGGCAGGATGACGACAAAAACCTAGCAAAGAAGCAACAACGTCGTGAAGACGAAGAACGTAAGAAAGCTGAGCAACTCCGTCGTAAGGCCGAAAGTAAAGCACTGCTAGATGAAGAAATGTCATCAATTAAAACACAAGGTAAACAACCACTTGCAAAAATCAGTCGCCAGCAATTGGCAGAGGAGCTAGAGAAAAAGCAACGTGCCCTTGATGCGATCAATGCAGCGAAACAACCCGCTGGACGTATTGTTATGCCCGCGCCAATAATTGAAGAGAATCTAAATCGTGCTATGGCCGATGTTGAGGTGGCAACAAATGTCGAAGAGGCATTGGCTGTTTTAAGGTAAGCCAAGTCAATTAACGACAAAAACCGAAAATTGTGTAAAAACGGTTTTGCTTAGTCAGTGATGCATATAAATTTGAAAATGCTGCCAACTATGGTTTGGAGCAGTATTTTGAATGGTCACAACACCTTGTGCCAACACCTTGTTCTCCATCAACATGGAAACCCCTGTGTGCTCTTTAGTTGTTACGCGCTTTTACAAATTGCATTCATAACATTTTATTAACAGTAAATCAGGAGCGAATAGTCTACTTCCTGAAGTTACCCGTTTAAGCTACTGACCAAGTAATGCTCACTACTGCCTTCAATTGCCCAACAAGCAACGAAGTGCACCACAAATAGCAACAACAAGATTTTATTCTCGCCGACTAAGCAATGCCTTCACAATTATTATTAATTATTTATATATTTAACATCTCTTTCCTTCTTCCAGTGTCAAAGATGAAGTCAACAAACATCCTGAAAAACAGATGCGTGCCGCTTATAAAGTATTCGAATCTGCTAACCTGCCACGCATTAAGTCTGAAAATCCCACGCTACGCCTATCTCAGTGGAAGCAAATACTGATGAAGGAGTGGAACAAATCACCAGATAATCCCTTTAATCAAGCACAATGATTGTACCCAACAAAAATAAATTAGAACAGATTTTTGGCAAACGAATTTCACTTCATCGAGCTATAACTATGGAAACAAATAGGTCCTTTGGCATATTTTCATGCAGAAGAAAATAGTTTAAGTAGAAATTAAATTCAAATGATATATTAATTACAATAGTATATTAATTAAAAATTTTATACTTCAAAGTCAAACATTTGTTTACTTAATGGTTTTCATGCCTCCTGCCAAAACACCACCCTGTATATAATTAAATTATTACATAAAAACTTTATACCACAAAATGATGAAAACTTATTTTTTTGTTAGCACTTTTAGTATTTTAGGTTTAATAGATTTTTATTGTCATTAATTGTAAACGCCAATTGCGTATTTTAAGAAGAATAATTTTATTTATTTTTCGTTTCAAGCTTAAACTTTTGTTGTTGACAAAAAGTATTTATTTTTTTATTTTTGTTGCTCATTTGCCATGAAAGAATAGTGAAAGCTGTAGACGCCCAAACCGTACGTTTGCGAAAACCCAATCAATTAAGTTGTGTATTTTTTTTAACGAGCAACTCGCAGTTAATTTATTATTTAATATTTTTTATAAATATATATTGCCTCACATCTCTTTTGCTCTTAATTATATACAACAATTTGAACAGTCAAAAAATAGTGGCGAACTCCCAAACTGTGAAGCAGGCGAGCCGCTTCCAAAAATGGTTTGTAGGTCTTTTGATTTCTTACTGATGTGGGTTTCAAGCTTCAATTCAACATGTTAGTAAAATTTATTTTATTTTTTTGTTTTTAAGTCGTAGACATTGAAACAACATTATTGAGATGCACAAGACCTTCAATACTAACTTACGCTTGCTATAGCATGAAAATAAGAATAAAAATTTCTTATGGAATCAGGCCTTCAACCTTGTAAATAACAACACTAAGGATATTGATGAATCTGCTTGTGTGATCCCTTTTGAGACTCAAAGAGTGGCTTCGTTAGGTAGACCCGAAAGTTCTTGAAATCTCTCCCAGTCCTTTGTTCTTTACACTTTCATGGAATAATAATAAAATGGCTTTGTCCAGACTACCGGATTCCAATGCTATAAACTATTAATAACAGTTTCTCACCATTTATTTGTAGAAATAATTTCTCACCTTCAGAACAAGAAGGCGTCCTATGCCACTTCACTTACAATTATTCGTTTCGTCTTTACGAGAATAACGTTAGTGAACGGTCTCAATCTTTACCGCGTGAAGATTAGCATACTGCCTCAACTGAGTTTTAATTCTTGATGGTCTCGATCTGGACCTTTGAATTTGAATAACCTGAATATTGCAATTTAACTTATACCAAACACAGTTCAGTTAGATATATTTAAATAAATTATATTGAAAAGTTTTGAAAAACCGAATGTAATAAATATTAGTCGAAATCTAATTAAGTATTCTGATCACTTGCAGGTTATGAACTGCGTTTATGCTTACAATTTGTTGAATTTATGATTTTGTAAAATTGTTGGAAAGAAACTAAAAGTTCCATATTCGGTCTGTCTGCTTTTAAAGAACTTTTACTTTATGTTGAACTAAATAAATTGTCTATTTTAAGTACCACAAGAAACTAAAGAAAACGCTTTGAAATCTATTAGTTGAACCGTACTTTGAAATCTTTCTATGCAGGAAATTCAAAGTTGAATAATTAATTAAATAAATTGCAAGGAACATTAGATATTAAAGGGATATTATAGGTAATAATTCTTAAACAGCACAAATATAGAAAGATTTGGATGGGAAGCCTAAGTTAGAGTGACAACTTTCAGTTTTAAACCACAATTGAGCACAAATAATGGCACATTAGGATATAACGAGAAGACAATGTGACGTGTAGTATTGGTCAAAAAAAAAATATTATTAAAACATCACATTAAACCATTTGATTATTCAACAACAAATTAATAGTGAATAAATAAATTAATAGTGGTATTTTGTGAAGTGAAGATTAACGATCTAATTGGAATGAATAAATAACTTTTATTAATAAAATTATTTAATTTAATTTATATTTTTATATAAATATTTATTATTTAATAAAAATTTTTAAATAAATTAAAATAAAACATTCAATTCAGTTTATTTGCCTCACTGCCAGAGTGATTCTCTTTCGCTGTTTCATAAAGCACTGTTAACAACAGATAATTTAAAACTGCTAAGAACAGACGTCATGAAGCTGTTATGCTTCTGCAGTCTGTTAATAAACAGCAGTGTTAGCTCAGAATAACCAAAAACATAGAAATATAAAGACATGTAATTTGCCTCTGTTAAAAAAATCATGAATTCTGAAAAGGTACACGCAATGGGAAAAACATGTCTGTTCAAACATATAAACAATCGAACTTTTTATTTTATGTATGATCAATGCTATTTTGTTAGTGAAGTCAGCAATCAAACCAATAGCGAATATGTTGTATTTTGCTTGGACAAAATCATATAGAAAAAACTCTAATATCAGAGCAAATGCACACATAGCTTCTAGCTCATGCGTATGTAAGTTTCTTGGTAAATTTTTTCTACTCTTCTTTTTATTGCACACTTACTAAATATATATGTGCATGGGTAGGTGAGACAATATTTTTGAATGTGATGTTTGGATTTTGTTTGTGTGCTTTTTTTTTTCTTAAAATATATGACTGGCTTCGTGTGCATGAAATGCACAAGTCTTCCAAATTATTTAAAATTTGATTTTTGCTGAAATTTTATACTAGCTTCATACTAAAATATGATGTTTGCCTATGACATGATGGAAAACACCGGAGTAGCGCAACCACAGTTGTTATTAGTGTAAATGCTCTTAATATGTTTGGCTATCAAGACTCAGCTATGCCATACAGTAACAATAGTTTCATGAAGAATATTCATAAACACCATATTATACAATAATTGATTATGTCTTATATATTAAGTTTTTATTATTATATTCTTATATCAAATACAATAGAATTATTAACTAAATTTAATTACTTAAATTATATAGAATACAATTATAAACCTTAGATAACTAATTATACATTAACTTAAATTAACTAGAACTATTAACTAAATTTAATTACATATTCCTTATAACTATTTAAAATAAAATTATTTATATAAGGGTGAATAATATTATTTATTGTTAATTTTTCTAATCATTCATAAATATTATTAGACTAATATTTTTACATAAATATAAATTTTTACAATTTTTTTAATTTATTTTTAAATTTTGCATTATCTTGGCTAATTTTTAGTACCCACTTAGAGTTCTTATATAATAAAACTTTTATTAAGAAGTCCAACAAAATTTCGCGATGGCTCCCGCACATCGGCTCCTCAAACCAATTTTCGCTTTGTACATTTTTTTTCATTTCTTCTTTTATGCTATTTATTATAATTTTTTTAATGCCATTTACATGATATTCCTTATATTCCATATATGTAACAAATTTTCACGTATAGTTTGCATATCACATTTCAATCAAAATTTAATTGCGTGCAAGTCAATACCTATATATATTTCTTTGCGTTTACTAATTGTTAAAAAATTATGGCTATTGTTTATAAAAAGTGTATTTTGAATTGTCGTTTTAATGACATAAGTGTTATCAAATTTTTTAAATTTCCAAATGACAAAACCTTATTATCAAAATGGATTCAAAATTTAAACTTTTCAAATAGTTTTGTTCCTTCTAAAAAGGATTTGCTTTGCAGCAGACATTTCAGTGATAATTGTATTGGAAAAGTTTTATTATATAAGAACTCAAAGTGGGTACTAAAAATTAGCCAAGATAATGCAAAAATTAAAAATAAATTAAAAAAATTGTAAAAATTTATATTTATGTAAAAATATTAGTCTAATAATATTTATGAATGATTAGAAAAATTAACAATAAATAATATTATTCACCCTTATATAAATAATTTTATTTTAAATAGTTATAAGTAATATGTAATTAATAGTTAATAGTTCTAGTTAATTTTGTATAATTAGTTATCTAAGGTTTATAATTGTATTCTATATAATTTAAGTAATTAAATTTAGTTAATAATTCTATTATATTTGATATAAAAATATAATAATAAAAACTTAATATATAAAAAATAATCAATTATTGTATAATATGGTTTTTATGAATATTACTGTATGGCATAGCCGAGTCTTGATAGCCAAACATATTAAGAGCATTTACACTAATAACAACTGTGGTTGCGCTACTCCGGTGTTTTCCATCAAGTCATAGGCAAACATCATATTTTAGTATGAAGCTAGTATAAAATTTCAGCAAAAATCAAATTTTAAATAATTTGGAAGACTTGTGCATTTCATGCACACGAAGCCAGTCATATATTTTAAGAAAAAAAAAAGCACACAAACAAAATCCAAGCATCACATTCAAAAATATTGTCTCACCTACCCATGCACATATATATTTAGTAAGTGTGCAATAAAAAGAAGAGTAGAAAAAATTTACCAAGAAACTTACATACGCATGAGCTAGAAGCTATGTGTGCATTTGCTCTGATATTAGAGTTTTTTCTATATGATTTTGTCCAAGCAAAATACAACATATTCGCTATTGGTTTGATTGCTGACTTCACTAACAAAATAGCATTGATCATACATAAAATAAAAAGTTCGATTGTTTATATGTTTGAACAGACATGTTTTTCCCATTGCGTGTACCTTTTCAGAATTCATGATTTTTTTAACAGAGGCAAATTACATGTCTTTATATTTCTATGTTTTTGGAATAACTTGCAACAATTGTGTAAATGTTAAGAAAATAATTACCACTAAGACTGAAAAGAAAAATGAAGTATATTTTGCTGAATTTTCTTGTAAAGTTGCTGGTTTTCAATTTTCTCGCTTACCTTGGCATTAACATTTGACAATGTTAACAGCGTTTGCCACAGCGGATGCGTTGCGCCAGCTACTCAATAGCAAAGCTCACACGGGCACGTTGAGAACTGAAGAGCTGTAGAGCTGAAGAGTGGTAAATACTGCAAAATAAAACCAGAAAGTAAAAGAAATTTTAAGTTGTGCTTTCTTTTTGGTGTAAAAATTTCTTTTACAAGATTATTAAGTTTCATTCAGTGCGAGACAAGCAGACGGAACGGTTGTCTGCGACGCGTTTACCCAGTAAATCGTGCGCCCGATAAAAAATATATATAAGGAAAACTGAAAAGAAAAAAGAATTTAATTCTTATAAAAATTTTCTGCATAGGAGAAAATCTTA